ATATTCCTTGCAAGTTTAACAGGGTAACAGGCAAAACTTTCGCCATATTGTGGTAATCTTTGATAAAAATTAGAAATGCCATCTTTCAAGAATGATTTTTAAAACATTAGTGTGTTGATTTATTATTGGAAATTAGTGTCATGAGTCATACATTTGAAACATGAGAAACTGAAAATTCTTCTTTATGAAACCTCACATTATTTTAGTGTGCATTGTTCAGCTATAGAATTCTCAAGGAGAGTGCGTATACCTAGACCTGGGCTTGGATAAGTCTCTATGTTAGGCTATGCGGACCACAGGTGCAGCCACCATCTGTCACCATACAACGCTATACCATACAAGGGTACTATTACAGTACCCTTGACTATATTCCCTGTACTGTACCTTTTATCCCTGTGACTTAACTCATTTCATCACTGGAGGCCTGTATCTCCCACTCCCTTTTGCCCATTGTGCCCATTACCCACCTACTTCCCTCCCTTGTGGCAATCATCAATTTGTGTCAGGTGTAATTTTGAATCCCTTGCATTTAGCAAGGAAAATCTGACAGCTTTTCATTTTCTGTTCCTAGAGCATCTCATGTAACACATACCACATTTTGCACAGCACTGTCATTATTGGTGAATATACCTTTTAGCATTTATATTTTACTGCAAGGGGTTTTAAAAGGGCTGTTACATTTTAGAATTCTTGTCACTCTCCTCCTTGATCTCATAGTGTGAGCCCAGTGCGTAGTTCATAGAGACGGTGAAAGAAATTTTATTGGAGATGGAAATGTATTTTGAAGTTGACTTGTTAAATGCTTCATGTCATTAGGAAATCTTTTTATGAGTATTTTTCTTGTTTATGTGACTTAATCAGTCTAATGCTTTCTCTTGGTTTTTCTTTTCTATGTGTTTTTGAACTCTGTTTCATAAATGTCTTCAGTGGAAATCCCTTTTATGTAAAACTGATTGTTTTGGTGGTTAATAACATATAAATTAGGAAAAAAAATCCCAGAAAGTTCTCTGGTATTTTTTTAATGTTAGCATTCAAACATTAATGGTTTATCTTTCCATGTATTATGAGCAATCTTATCTTTGAAATTTTCCATTAAAATTTATGTAGTTTAATTATTGCAATTTTCTTTTTTTTTTTTTTTTAAGATTTTTATTTATTTATTTGACAGACAGAGATCACAAGTAGGCAGAGAGGCAGGCAGAGAGAGAGGTGGAGGCAGGCTCCCTGCGGAGCAGAGAGCCCGATGCGGGGCTCGATCCCAGGACCCTGGGATCATGACCTGAGCTGAAGGCAGAGGCTTAGCCCACTGAGCCACCCAGGCGCCCCTATTGCAATTTTCTTAAATGTACTCCCAAATTAACACATTATTTGGGGGCTGTGTATGAATGGTAGCCAGACGGTGATGCTGGAATGTAAGAACATGTTACCATCTTTAAATAATAGCTTCTACCTTTTTCATTTCCTTTCCCCAGCTCTGTTTACACAATAATCAAGAAAACAAATTCCTATGCCCAACTTCGATATGAAAATGGTTTTATGTCCTATTGTGGTATCTTAAATCATTATTATGAATAATATGCATTTTCTTCTCCTTTCATTTTTCTTACCCTTACTATAAAGTAGCTTTTTCTCACTGTCTCATCACTGTGGAAATACATATCATATGAAATAATCTCTTCTGGATTTCACCAAAACCAGACTTCATGATAGCAATACTCACATTTCACTATGGAAATAACTTTCTCTCTTCCTCCAAAGGATACAATGTTATAATGAGCCTGGTTTCCTTTTAAACATGTCTTCTCTTTTCTCTTTGTCCCTCTCTTCCTACCTAATATATCCATACGGTTCCATGTCCTCCACTCCTCAAAATCTAGTAACATTTTTAAGAAACACCTAAGTATTATTTTGAAAACTTGCTACATTGTCCCCTTCTTTTGCACAATTGATACCCTTGATTATCCTCTTATATTTTCTTAATTATGTCTACTATAGAAGGAGCAAAGAACATTGGTTTAGAATCAGACATTTGGTTTGAAATTCTTGCTGCATAACATTTCTGATTTTCCTCCTCAGTAAACATGAGATGATATTATCTGCTTTATAGATTTGTATGGAGAATTAAATCAGATGATTGTATAATATATAGAACACTGCTCGGCATATGATAGGTACTCAAATTATGTTTATTCTTCTCTTTATCTTGTGACTTCATTTCCTATGTTCTGTTTTTCCCACTCCAGTGTGAGTTGTGAAAAAATTGTTCTACATCATCTGCATTCTCAATATCTACTATGGTTAATCTTTAGTATATATTTTTTAGGTAACAAATAAATAATTCACCTATTAGCTGCCCAGAATTATTTCCAGTGGCAAAGTAGTTCTGTATATATTTATGTATGTTTATGTACATGTTTGTGTGTGTCTACGTGCATACACACATCTAATGCTTATTTTTGACCCTCCTGTTCAATGGGCATAGAGGTAGGAAAAGACACGGTATCTGAATGTTGAGAGTATGGAGGCATTGTTTACTGGATGATGTATCAATCTTTTTAGTATCCTTTTTAAAATGTCCATTAATTATTACATGTATGTTAATGCTATTTTAAATTAGCGTTTTTTTTTTTTTCAAAAGTTATTTCTTGGAAAGAGTTACAAACTTATGGCAATTAAGAAGAAGTTCTGATTAATTTCTTGTAAGTCAGAGTGTGCATAAGAAAAAAGTGAGATGAAACTATTTCACAAGATTCCTTTCCACATAGTTTCTCTTTTATCTCAACCACTTTTTTTCCCTCATCAAAACTTTTCCTATTTGTGAAAGTAAAATATTATGAGATTGTCTGTTATAAACTTCATTTTCTTACAATGTGCCTGTGAGACTAAAACTTTTTTCAATCTGTTGTATTCAGATATAGTGTTCTTGGAGCCGGTTTATACAATAGTGACTCAAAAATATTTTTAAGCTAAATTATTGAATGATCTTGCTCCTTACACATACATGTTAAAAGAATCAGTAGGGTAAAATAAAAAACTAATGAGATGTATAATACTTGTTAAGATATAATAACACTTAATGTGCTAGACACCCTTCAGGGAAGTACACATTTTTAGGTATTTTATAGAATTCAACATTCCAAATTTTAACTCACTTAATGTCATATAGTCATATCAAGTAATATTACTCCCTCCACTAACAGAGGGAACTGAGGCACTGAATGCTTAAATGAGTTGCTCAAGGTCACAATACTGTAGAGCTAGTAATTGATATTGGGAGGTCTTGCTCCAGAATCTGTCTTTTTAATTAGCATGCAATAAATAACAATGCCAGAAATTCACATAAATCTGTGTAATTTTGCCTTATAACTAAGGCACGTATTTCAGAAATGTTTGGCATTTATTTTATCAGAATGAGGTTTATTAATGGATTCTAAAGTAAGCTATCACTATTTTGTATAACCCTTTCCAGAAATTTTTAAAATTTATACTCAAAATATGAAATTGTTTTTAATATCACCAGGAGAGAGAAAGAGACAGAGACAGAGAGGGAATGGGAAAAGGGAAGGAGAACAACCCAGTTTGTACTGATTGATCTGTTTTAAAGGTGCTGACTATAAAAGACATCCTCAAAATTTGGGTCATACTCCTTCAGTAGTTCTGCTTCTTAAGATAAATCTGTGCAGTCTTTAAGAGAAGGCAGCCATGTAAGTTTGATTCAGGAAAGTACGTTTCTTTCTTTCTTTTTTAAAAAATTATTTCCATTAACATATAATGTATTATTTGCCCCAAGTATACAGGTGTGTGAATCATCAGTCTTACACACTTCACAGCACTCACCATAGCACATACCCTCCCCAATGTCCATAACCCCAACCCCCCTCTCCATACTCCCCCTCCCCCCAGCAACCCTCAGTTTGTTTTGTGAGATTAAGAGTCTCTTAAGGTTTGTCTCTCTCCTGATCCCATCTTGTTTCATTTTTTCCTTCCCTACCCACCAAACCCTCCACTCTGCCTCTCAAATTCCTCATATCAGGGGGATTGTCTATTTGTCTTTCTCTGATGGACTTATTTTGCTCAGCGTAATACCCTCTAGTTCCATCCACATTGTTGCAAATGTCAAAATTTCATTTCTTTTGATAGCTGCATAGTATTCCTGTGTGTGTGTGTGTGTGTGTGTGTGTGTCTGTATCACCTCCTCTTTATCCGTTCATCTGTTGATGGACATCTAGGTTCAGGAAAGTAAGTTTCTTAGGCTATATTTTTTAATGTCTTATATGTATTTTTTAAAATTTGAGCAACATTCCTCATCTTAAATTGTAATGTCTTGGAGAATAGTTTGCATATTTTATTCAGTTCTTGTGTTCCTAGCCCTATTTCACTAGGCACTCAATAAACCCCTTTTGAATGAATTGGCCTTGTTTGAGCATATTTAATTAACATAAATCTAGGATCTTCATAGATTAACTTACAAGGATGCTTTGAAAAGTAATATGTCAAATTACATAGAATAATTTCTGAATTGAATATTAGGGGTTGGGATGAAAGTAAGAATCATATAATTTTGTTTTAAATTTAGAATAATGGTAATGAATGAATTTTTTATTTTTACTGTTCTAATATTTATAAAAATTGTATTTGTGAGAAGTGTGTATACAAAGGAAGGCCCAACTCTATTTATACAGATTTACAAATTATACAAATCAATTACTAATTTATTATTATCTAAATTGGTATGGCATATTTATATTAATATTTTCAGTGAGACTGAATTATTTATTTCATTCTGTTTGTGGGTTGAGAAATAAACTCTATGTGGTACGTGCATAAATATTGTCCTTTAGGTTACTTAATCATTTTTCTATATGATGCCTGTGTAAATTAATGTGAACAAGGGAGGAAGGTTATACAGATGTTCTAGTCAGCAAATAAATCGTCATCGTCAAGGAATTCAGATGAGAAAACTTGTATTTGATAACCCATTCTTTTTTCCTTGTTTGCAGGATTCAAATTTGGGATATTGGTGTTTGTTTTTGAGAAATTTTTTTGTGGGATTTTTTTTTTTTTTTTTTTTTTTTTTTAATCATCGGTCGTGGAATACAGAAGAGGAACCAGAAAGACACTTATTTCATTTCACGCTGGGAACACTCACTTTTGAGGCACTCTCACGCCCTGATACACAACCATGTGGCCATCACAGCTACTAGTCTTCATGGTGCTTACTGCACCAATCATTCAAGGTAAGACCTTTAATTAGATTTTTGTGTGAAGCTTTATGTTGTCACTATTTGCACTAGGTCCTTTCTTCTAAATCTGCTCAGTGCCTTAGCAGCTTTTGCCTATGATATATTCATAAAAGTAAGTTAAATTTAAAAGGCCATAATATGTACCATCAGCTGCAATAAATACAACCTTGAGTTTGTTTTCTGAAAGTAGATTTTGAAATGTGTGCATAGCCAATTCTTTGTTATTTTTAAGAGCTTTCAGTGTTGGCTACTCTTTTCCATCTTTAATACACAGAATACAAAGTAAACTGCTCATTTAAATAAGAATTTTTTTTCATATATATGCATTTTAGTGCAAGAAAAAAAAAAGGCCAAAGTGATATGAACGTATGCTGAAAGGTAATTTTACTGAAACATGCTAATCAACTCATAAAAAACCATATACTTTGTTCATTTAGACATTTCAGTATTGATAACACAAATATGATAGTTAAATGCTAGATCTTTGCAAATTTTATAAAAAATAATTAATAAATTATGTACAACTTAGTATAATATTCACTGAATCTTTCTAACAACTGGCAAAGTCTACATTTATATTTCTTACTGACAATTTAAAGTTTTCTACTAATCATCATTGATTTTGCACTTAGATGAAAATGGTATAATATAGTCACTACCTCATACATTAATGGTAATGATGCCAAAGAAAGGGACACAGCTCTCTTTGGCACTGCTTTGGAGGTCTCAGAATATTAGGATGTAGCAAGTACCTGAGACCAGATTTTAGGCTCTTTTAGCTCACTTTTGGTTTTTTTAATTGACTACAAAAATCTACTATAGTTTATCACTGATACAATTCCGAATTTGGCCCATACACTTATTTCAATGTGAATTACATTTTGCTGTCATTATAAAAACTGGATAAACTACCTTCTGTGTCTTTTGATGTTTTCTTCTAAAGTTTTCCTGATTTAACACATTTTTTCTAAGTATTTACAATATAAGGTACTTCTTTTTTAAAGAAATTAAAGTAAAACAATTTAACCATCCAGTTTTAAATGATGTAAATTTGTAAAAAAAAAAAAAAAAAGAATTCAGAGTGTTTCCTTAATTCATATAGTGATGGAGCACTTACTTCCATGTACTTGAGTACATGTAGCATTTTGTGGTAAGAGACAATAAAAAAAATTATGTCCCTTTAAACAAGTGTTTTTCTAATTATCTGTATATCTAAAGATTATTCTAATTAGGTTTTGATGTTATAAAGATGCCTCACTCATAAGGTTGTTTTGAGGATTAAATAAATAGCATACTTTGAGAATCTAGCACAGTACATGACAAAGAGTCAGTGTTTGAACAAGCTAATTTCCTTCATTGTACTATCTGCTTCTCTAGTTTATTTTTGTTCTAATAAATTATAACAACCAGAAATTAGCTAATCATGAGAGCTGTTTTGTTTGTTTTTGATAATCAGAAACCCCCCTACACACACACACGCACACACACACGTGCGCGCGCGCGCGCACACACACACACACACACACACACATCCTCTCTCTCCAAGGAATTCTGAGAAGCATTTAAAAACTCCTCTTAGAACAACTAGAAATTTGGCATAAAAAAATATTTTGGCTAGAGTAATCTTTTCTGTTGTATGTGAGCTCCTTTATCTTATCTTGACTTTGAACCATATTATGCTATACAATATAGCAGCTTTCTATTTATAAACTTTATCCTTCTTACCTTGAATAGGAATTTTAAAACTTCGCACCAAAAAATTACAAGTCCATTTTGTCTGCCTTCTATAGAAGGCCTTCTCCACTGCCTTTGTGATACCACTTTGGACTTATAAATAGAAGGCTTCATATGAACAGCCTTTGGGGACCCAGCTTGCTCATAACTAAAGGAATGTATGTACCTCTGATCAGTGCTGATCTTACAGGATAGACTTTTTTTTTTAGAGTCCCTAACAATCCTGTCTTAAAGGCATACCACATAACTTGAAACTTTATAGGTAACTGAGTTAAAATGATGTCACGGTTACAGAAGGACATGCTCTTTCCAAAACACATCCCCGGTAGCATCTCCTTCACTTCTGTTGTTGAGATGTCCCTCTTTGTTTGCACCCCTGACCATAGAGAATTAACTTACCTGGGAATGACTTGAATTGCTCTTTTCTCCAGAGCAAATAATAATGATGACCACTGATTTTTGTGGCCATAAACTTCAGATGTATTGGTATAATTAATCCCTACAAGTTCTCATGGGTTTAATATTATTTACTATTACTATTGTTATCACTTTTTATTATAAAAACACTGAGATAATGAGCGGTAAAGGAACTTGACCGAAGTAACACAGAGACCCAGAGGAGATTTAAATGAAGAGCCTGGCTTCTTGAGCTCTGGTCTTACTGCCCATAGATAAGCAATGACTATCAAAGCCTTTCTTCATTGCAGAGAATCCCATTTCAATGCTTCTGGCTGTTTGGGAGAAGGTGAAACAGAAATGCAGATCACCTGCTTTTCTCCTGTATTCTGAGCACAGACAGATGAGGTTTTGATGTCTTACAGACTTGAGATAAAATTTCAGCTCTGTCACCTACTAGTTCTGTAACCATGTTACTTGGTAAACTAGTTAACAGATATTCATTATCACCCAGTGTGAGCCAGAAAACTGTGCTAGCTGCTCAAGATATGGTAATAAACAAAAGATTTTAATTCATCCCTCAAGGAACTAAGGGTAACTTAAAATTTTGTAAGCCTACTTTTTATCTGCAAGAATGAACAATTATTCCATGCAAAGTTATTTGAAGAAGTAGATAGAATAATATATATGCATAACTTCTAACATAGTGTTTGGCATTTTGTAAATATTCCTTATATTTTATTTGCCCACCCCTAATTACCTGGAAATGGAGCTAACCCTCTGAGCATTAGATAGGGAAAATGGCTACTTCCCTGGATTCTTACTGTGAGAATTGAAATAAATTTTTTTCTACTTGAACCTCAGCATTTAAGATTTTTTCCAGTAAATTCTTGACACTAGTTTCTGTTCAAAATTATTATCAAGCCAGTATGTATGAAGGCTTAGTGCATAATTCTCTCTATATAATAATAGAGTTATAACTGTCGGTGATGCAAGTATACAGTTAACAGTGATAGTAGTATATAGCTGGTAATATAATTATCAGAGATGGATTTTGTTCATGATTTCACATGGGCAAAATTAGAAACTAAGCTAAAGAATTAATATTGAATCATGTTTACGTTAGTTGGATAATCTCCATATTTTCCTAGAAAGTCTGGCCAGTGTTTGATCTAGGAAAACAAACTTAATCAGTACGTCCACACCATATATGTATATATACACAACTTTTAAATTTGGAAATGTCTCTGGTTCTATGTTTATCTGTCCATATTTTATGTCTCTGTGTACCTCCGTATTTCTCTTTTTCTGTTTTCCATGACTGTGCCCCCTTCCTGTACAGCCATAAAACCCTTATCTGTAAAGCAATGAGAACTGGCAGAAGTAAAAAGAAACCACTAAAGCAGATGGCCAGGTTTTTGCTGTTAACTAATGTAATGTTGCACGAAGATAAAGGATTTTTTTGTTCTGTTGATATGGTTGGGACCAAGGGAAAAGAAGGGAATTGGAGAACAATAATCCAATAATAACCTGGGCACTTGGGCTCATTGTGATTGTTAGTAAAGGAATACCAATGTCCAGTGTGATATATGGGCTAGGAGATCTAGTACCCAAGCCACAATGAGTTGGGAGTTGAAAAGGTGGTTGGGGTGCTCAGATATCTTAACTATATCTCCTCTTATTTAAATTGTACTTATGAAATGTGTCACAGTTGAAGAGATAGAAAACAGAGGATAATTAGAACTTACTGTGGGTAAAGGGGAACAATATATTTTATGATACTTTTGGATTAAAAAGTGGGGTTTTAAAAACTTCTTCTATAACTACCATATGCATACTTTTTTCCCTGCAAGTTTATTTTTTAAAGTTGCATGTGTATTTATATATTTGTGGACTTTATAGGCTAACCTGCTTTTTATTATGTTTAAGAGTTGATTATAATAAACAGCCATTAGCAGGGACAAAACAGCTAATCATATCCATATATATTTAGTATTATATGTTTTTGTGTAATTTGCATTTTATTATTAATCTTAATTTTCACAGTTATAATACCATTTAATGTATCAGTGATTTAAAATAATACACATTTTTTAAACTTCTAATAAAATGTGAAGCTTGAGAAAATAGAAAAGTGCATTTCACCACATGGCATCTTACTATATAATTCTCTTTATGAAGTCATGTTTTATTGATTGTGAAAAAGTCAGCTTGACTTCTAAGCTCTGCTTAACTTCACTAGTTTTAGAAATTAATCATCTTTGGAATGTTCATGTTTGTCAGCCTAGATAATTTGTAATACTCCCAGTAATATCACTATGTTTATGGTCAGATATGTTATACAAAAAAAATCTTTGTCATGGTCATGATATATGAGGCTACGGTGAACACATCCAACAGCATTACCCACCTGGTACTGAATTTCAAAATACATTATTTTGTAAGTTAACCATAATCTCTAATATCACAATATAAACCACAAATATGCATGGCTGATAGCTTTTCCTTTGTAAGAATATGTTGAGAAACATTCCCTTACACACTCAGTATGCAGGTTAGCAATTGGAAAATAACTTTCTTTTGCACTTGCAAAATGTGTTATAGGTGAATTTTATTGTACTGATACTTTATGAGTAACATGTATATACTTTGAGAGCAAAATAGCTTTTTCTTATTTTCAGATTTTATATCTATTTTAGGATCATATCTTATTGTTTCTATTTCTTTGCCTTGGAATAGACTAGGACTGCAATAGGGTAATTGTATGCTTGATGTAGAGTGAATTAAAAAAAAACTGGATTACATAACATATAAGTATCTAGTTATTTATTTTCCTCTTCTTTGCATCACTATTTACATTCATT